TAAAATAATAACTCCGATTCCGACGAAATATTTTAATTGATGGTGAAAATAATCGTAAAAGTAATTACTTACAAAATGAAAAACTGCTTGTTCCTCTCTCTAAATTCAGATTTGAATTTTTTAAGTTGAAACTCTAATTAGTTATTCCCCGAGTTACAATTAGATAGAAGCCGTTAAGATAAAAATTAATGGTGTAATTAATTTAATTTTTTGAGTGGCTCTGTTCGATGTCCCGTTGATTAGAGGGCCTTGTGGCGTGTTTTGTGTTTAGTTGAATTTGTAGATTGGGTGGGTGAAGTTGTGGTGGGGTAGGGGGGGGGTCATGTCGTGGTAGGTTGGGTGGGTCATGCTGTGGTGGGTTAGGTTGGGTGATGAGGTCGTGGTGGGTGGGTCAGGTCTTGTTGTGGTGGGTAGGTGAGGTCGTGGTGGGTGGGTGAGGTCTTGGTGGGGTGGGTGGGTCAGGTCGTGGTGGGTGTGTGAGGTCGTGGTGGGTGGGTCAGGTCTTGTTGTGGTGGGAAGGTGAGGTCGTAGTAGGGTGGGTGAGGTCGGTGTGGGGTGTGTGGGTCAGGTCGTGGAATGGGGTGATTTGGTCGTGGTTGGGTGTCTGGGTTAGGTCAAGCGTTTCAGATAATCAAGAGAGACACTACCCACCGTCCACCTATCCTCTCCGTCCCGGACGAAAAGGACAAAACTATAATTTGTGTCCATGTCGGACTTTTGTCAGTGTCGGCTTTTTGTCTTGTCGGCCTTTTGGATGTCGGCCTTTTGTCCTACACCCGTGTTTGCTCGCACTTTGAGATTTTACAGTTTGGTAAATTTTAGATAATGTTTACCTTCAGGCAACAATATCTCATTCAATGGATGGTGACCACGTCCACCCCCTAGCAGTCTACGCCCTTTTCAAGACAGCATTTTAATTTTGGTATAAAATCTCGTTAGACTTTCAGTCTGACTTGGGGAACAAGGTTGGGATGAAGGGGAGGGTGGGGGTGGTACAATTATACTAAGGGTGGAGGGTGGGGACGATACAATTATGATGAGAGTAGAAGGTACAATTTTGCTGAGGGTGATGGTAGTAGAGTTATCCTGAGGGTGGAGGGTGGGGGTGGTACAATTAGGATGAGGGTGATAGTGGTAGAGTTGTGCTGAGGTTGGAGGCTTGGATGGAACAACTACGCTGAGGGTGGGGATGGTACGATTATGATGAGGGTGGAGGGTGGGGTGGTGACATTATGCTGAGATGGAGGGTGGTGGTGGTGACATTATGCTAAGGGTGGGGTGTGGGGGCGGTAACATTACGCTGAGGGTGGACGATGGGGGTGGTAACATTATGCTGAGTGTGGGGGTGGTAACATTATGCTGAGTGTGGGGGTGGTAACATTATGCTGAGGGTGGGGGTGGGGGTGGTAACATTATGCTGAGTGTGGGGGTGGTAACATTATGCTGAGTGTGGGGGTGGTAACATTATGCTGAGGGTGGGGGTGGTAACATTATGCTGAGGGTGGGGGTGGGGGTGGTAACATTATGCTGAGGGTGGGGTGTGGGGGCGGTAACATTATGCTGAGGGTGGAGTGTGGGGGCGGTAACATTATGTTGAGGGTGGAGTGTGGGGGTGGTAACATTATGCTGAGTGTGGGGGTGGTAACATTATGCTGAGTGTGGGGGTGGTAACATTATTCTGAGGGTGGTGGTGGTAACATTATGTTGAGGGTGGAGTGTGGGGGCGGTAACATTATGCTGAGGGTGGAGTGTGGGGGCGGTAACATTATGTTGAGGGTGGAGTGTGGGGGTGGTAACATTATGCTGAGTGTGGGGGTGGTAACATTATGCTGAGTGTGGGGGTGGTAACATTATTCTGAGGGTGGTGGTGGTAACATTATGTTGAGGGTGGAGTGTGGGGGCGGTAACATTATGTTGAGGGTGAAGTGTGGGGGCGGTAACAATTACGCTGAGGGTGGAGGGTGGGGGTGGTAACATTATGTTGAGGGTGCAGTGTGGGGGAGGTAACATTACGCTGGGGGTGGGGTGTGGGGGCGGTAACATTACGCTGAGGGTGGGGGTGGGGGCGGTAACATTATGCTGAGGGCGACTAGAGCAGCGACGAGCAACGCGAATCAGAAAGGGTTCAACGATTTTCATTATTTTCTGCCGAAGATGGAAATACATCTTGATGTTAATTAAAGCATGTGTAGATTACGCAAGAGAAAATAAAAACGTTATTGTTTACCATTTAAATTATCCACACAAACACACACACGCACACACACTAAAGCTATAATCCATCTCTTAGTATTTAATTTTTACTCTAACATAAATAATATTCTATAATCACTGTAGGTTAAAAAAAAATACGCCTAGTGCAATGCTACAATATAGGTTCGATAACTCTTCTTTCGTAATATCAAGATCCCCCCCCCCCCCCACGGAGTATTGAGTCCAAAATTGGAGATCCAATTCCTTATCTGTAGTAATTTAAGGGTTCTCCAGATTTACTAGCTAAGCCTACCAATTAGGCGGTGGACTAACTTGTCTATCAGACTAAACTCAACCTATTATCTTGTGACTAGATCTTTTGTGTTTTTGTAAAACCACTATACGCTGCCCGCTGATTATGGATTAATCACAACTGACCAATCATTAACAGGCTAATTACTTACACGTCACGTACTAATCTTGGATTATCCAATCACACTCTTATAAATTAACTATGATCCTCAATTCCGTATTTAAAGACATATTTTCACCAATCAAGCAAACGTGTCTACTCATCTATTTTATAGTTGATGGCACGCACTGATAAGATTAGCCGTTACGTTTGACCTTTAGCCAAAATAGCTTCCGTTTAGCCCACACACTGAGCCGAGGGTGGGGTGGGGGTGGTTGGGGGGATGACCGCATCAGATCGATAAGACTTGCAATAAAACACCAATACCGATCTAGATTACACCCAGGGCGGCTCCATCAAATTTCGGACACAACTCAGGTGACTCTCGCAGAAATAAATCTTAGGGGTTAACCTGCGTGGATGTCTGTTCTTCAAACTGTATGGGGCGAAATTACATGATTCCAGATGTAAATGGAAGCTTTAGAGCGGTTAAGTTACCGATTTATACATACATATACGTACGATTTATACATATATATACATATATATATATATATATATATGTATATATATATATAAATATATATATATATGTATATATATATATATATATATATATATATATATATATATATATATATATATATATATATATATATATATATATATACATATTTATTTAAGCCTATATATATGATGTATATAATCATAAATAACATACATTTATATACAGACAAATGGTTCCATGACAAATGATCTCAGGACAAATGATCTCAGACAAAATATCTCACGGACAAATGATCTCAGGACAAATGATCTCAGGACAAATGATCTCAGGACAAATGATCTCAAGGACAAATGATCTCACGGACAAAAGATACCAGGACAAAATATATCAGGACAAATGATATCATGGACAAATGATCTCACGGACAAAAGATACCAGGACAAAATATATCAGGACAAATGATATCATGGACAAATGATCTCAGACAAAATATCTCAGACAAAATATCTCACAGCAATATGTTGATAGTATGTACAATGATTTTAGTTCATTTGAACTTTTTTTTAAATTGACTGTCAATATGGTTTTGTTTACTTTCTTTACGCATCATAATTGTGAATAAAATGAATTTGTTAAACTTAACAAACCATCAAAAGTTTATTTAACTTAATCTTTGTAATGGCCTTTGATTTGAAAAAATATAAATTAAAACAAACTTTCTCCTTTATCCTGAAAGGTATGATAAATGATAATGTATAAAACAAAGTAACGGTAGCTATACAACAATAATGTTTACAACATGCGAAATATCTTTCAAAAATGTTAATGGGTCTCTAGGATCGTAACGTAAAATTATTGTTTTTATTGCATGATCAACCCAAACATAACGTTTACGTTTCTTTGCTGACAGTACATCGTTATGATCACACCTCTCCAATACTATGAGATCATGTATTGTGTGAACTCTTGCTCGACATGTTCTAACTCCGCGATGACCGCTGTTTGTCTTAAATAAGCATTTGTGACCTGATCACTAAGGTGTGACCGACGCATAACTATTGAATTTAGCTATTAGTTGTATTGTTCATGATGGGCGGATGTCTTTCCCTTAAGGCATCAAAGCGGGCTGCCACCTTGATACGAAGGTGTTTCTCTATTGTTATTTCATCCTCTTTGATCTAGTTTCGTCCACCTGACATGGTTGGATTGTCTCATGATTGGCAAGCCCGCCTACGCTGTCTATCGAACAATTTCTTTAATCTTCTGAAGCAATAATCCTAATTTTAAAATGCAATATACAATTTTAAAAGTGCAATATGATAAATTTATACGGCAAACATTTCTTACAATTATCATATGGGCCTATAATTAAACATATTAAACAAAACCATACGACAGTTAATAAAAAATTGTTCAGATCAACTAAAGTCACCCAATACAATATTAAAATTTAGGTGTGAGATATTTTGTCTGAGATATTTTGTCTGAGATCAATTGTCCGTGGTATCATTTGTCCTGATATATTTTGTCCTGGTATCTTTTGTCCGTGAGATCATTTGTCCTTGAGATCATTTGTCCTGAGATCATTTGTCCTGAGATCATTTGTCCGTGAGATATTTTGTCTGATATATTTTGTCCGAGATCATTTGTCCTGAGATCATTTGTCCTGTCACCCAGACATATATATATATATATATATATATATATATATATATATATATATATATATATATGTATTGTGTGTGTGTGCGTCTATTTTTAACTGTGTGAATGATTTTAAAAAAATAATTCGACCTCATTATAACCTTTCTCGTGCTATTTATGTGTACACACATACATCCACTATTATACCTGTTTGATGTAATGTTTCATGTGGTTCTGTCACAGGTGGAATATTTGACGGCAGTTCCGTCCAGGCACTGACCGCCTTCCGTCACGAGGTCCAGATGTTCAACAGGGAACACAGCAGCTTCCAGCGGATGCGGAATGAGACGGTTGTCTTGGACGTGACGGACAGCTTCGCCGTGAGTAACGCCTGTAAGTTCTTCTGTTCTCCTGCCTTGTAGGTTTATCTTGTTCTGTTTCATGGGTATGTATTTTTGTCTGTTTCTATGTTTAATAAAATAAAATAAAATCGTCACGTTCCATGGGGGTCCATTGATACAGGGAAAAATAATGTTTAATATCATCCTCAACGTTTTCCATTCGTGCCCATGACACATGGGGCAGACGTAGTAGAGTTAACCTGTTTCTGTAACCTCTGCTTTTGAAAGGATAGTGTTGTCAGTACTACTTTACTTTCCCTAACGTGAGTTAGGTACCCATCGTAGCTAGATGGGACGTCCCATTTATCTGTTAAAATATTTTAGTTCATCATTACGGTTATATATAGTGTAAGTTCATTTGTTGTATATGACTAAGACTTATCAAGTAGGGAAAACACATTCAGGCATCTGAAATTCGACATCTTTGTGAGTTTACCTTGTTCAAATCGAAGTATAAAGACATGAAAAAGAAATACCAACACTAATAAATTAATAAACCCCTCCCTCTCAAGCGGATAGTATTATTTAACTTATGTCACTAAATCCTAATATTTGCCTAAATTTATAACCAATCTGTAGCCTAAACCTAATAACTGAACCCTCAGTAAATGATATCCAAGTTGAAAATGTGTAACTGTTCAGATGAAATACGAAACTAAAATCACTTTTTTAGGAGCCAAATGTGAGCTATTCTCTAGACATTAAATTGCCAGATCAATTTTCGGTTGTGTTTTTTTCTGCCAGATTACTCGTTCTATTTTAGCCTAGTTTAATAGAATGGTGTGATCATTAAGCTGGATTGGAAAAAAAAGATCTCATTCTGTTGACGAAAGACTCGGGTTTCATTGATGTGTAGAACAAGCACTTGAAACGTCGTTACTGTCGTCATTGAATGGCCATTAGCATTGAATAGAGGTTTAGTTGAATTGTCGGATACTACTGGTGATCTTCCCATGTGTTGTCTGGTACTAGTGTTGATCTTTACCTGAGTTGAATTGTGTGGTACTAATGTTGATCTTGATCTGAGTTGTATGGTACTAGTGTTGATATTTATCTGAGTTGAATTGTTTGGTACTATTTTTTTATCTTCACTTGAGTTGAATTGTCTGTTACTAGTGTTGAACTTCACATGTGTTGAGTTGTCTAGCACACAGTTGATTCTCACCTGAGTTGAATTGTCTGGTACTACTGTTGATCCTTGGGTTTTTTGAGAATTCAGTGATAAAGGGAAATCGGCGCTATTTTTTGGTCTCAATAGGTCACTTGTTACAAAATAATGAGATTCCTCCATACTTGTTTCTGCTTTTAAGATTCGACCATTCTAATGTTTCTGAAGTGTTCCTATCTAGCATTAACGACTGTGTGATTGAGTCTATCTCTAGCATTGACAGAGTGTATTGGGTATTAAATGTACGTTCGACACAGATGCTATTTACAAATAATATCCAGGATCATGCTTGTAAACCGGCTGTCCAGGAGCCGCAGGGACATTTCTAAATGAACTCACCCCTCCCCCCCCCCCCCCCCCCCACCAGATTGAAATTTTCAGGTTGGATTTTTTTTTTACCATCAAAGCCTGACTTTTACGTCTTGTCATGAAGTAATCGGAGTAGTAAAATGAAAAAAAAATGGTAATCAAAAGACTAATAGAACTAAAACAACGCCTGTCATGTGGCTCCACCGAGATATTTTCTTTTTGGGGGCCCATCTAGATTTTTTTTTTCTAGGGGCCCATCTAGATTTTTTTTCTAGGGGCCCATCTAGATTTTTTTCCTGGGGGCCCACAGGGATTTTTCCTGATAGACTAGCGGGCCAGTGCACCCTTTATTGTTAACGCGGGGATAAATAAACTGATACGCACAAACGCAATTGAATTGATTACGTTTCATCAGCGGCCTCAGTGGCGTCGCTAGGTCGTGTGTCACCCAGTGCGACCCAAAAGTGTATCAACCTCCGCCCACCACCAAAGGAAAAAAAGTATATATATATATATATATATATATATATATATATATATATATATATATATATATATATATATATATATATATATATATATATATACAGTATGCATACATAGGTCTATATATGTATAGTTGCAATTGGTGACACCTTCCTCCGATTTTGCCAAATAATGTCGATTTGTGCACTCATTATTATAATCCACCTATACCTTTTCAGTTGGTGTCAAACCCCCACCGTCCCCACACCCCACCCTCGGCAAAAGCTTTAAAATGTTCACAATTAATACTAACGATATTTATCTTTAGTCGCTTAATAATACAGCTGGATGTAACATTGTTTTCTCTACAGTGTGTATGTTTAGGTCATGGTGTTACCCCTCCTCCTGTTCCCCCCCCCCCCCCCGTCGGTATTTTTAATGTGTACTTAAATACATTTTGCCTCTAATTAACCATTCATCGGACTTGCAAAAAACATATTTATTCTATATATTTTGCTGTATTTTTTTACTTGATGTCAATCACCTAAATGGTGTCACCCGGTGCTATCCGCACCCCCCAAACCCGACCCCAGACGCCGCATGGTGACCTAGACAGCATAAGAAAGGTTCTTCAATCCCAGTTGAGTAGGTTTTCCGATATTAATAAATGGAGGAGATTTGATGGTCAAAGTCACTAGACGTATGTGTTAAGTTTACGTCTTTCCCTACAAACTGATTTTGCAATAAACTCATGCACATACATTATATTCTTACCATATTATTATGCTTTTCTTTAATTTAATATAACTCATTTAAGATACAACAAAATATACCATCTTAAAAATCTTAGTGACAAGATAATTTGGATAAAAATTGCCCTAACGGGATGCGATGTAATGATTATTTTTAGAACTTTAGCTTGACAAATCCGAACAGGCCATGTCGCAGAGTTCACTCTGCATATTCTCGGCATCAAGATCTAATTAATTGTGGGAGAATGCATGTCTCAGCGACAGGTTGGGCTCATGGGCTGTGGCCAGGATATGGGAGAAAATAATGAGATAGAACAACGATAAATGATGGGTAGCTAATTCACTCAGGCAACGAAAATATAAGGAGAATTTAACTATATTTGAAAACGAGCATACCGAAAGTATTTAATTACATCTGATAACGGACATATAAATACATTAAATTACATCTAACAACGAAGATATAAAGGGCAGTTAGTTGCATCTGACAATGTCCATATAAAGAGCTTTTGATTACATATTACAACTTTTTATGAAGGACAGAAATTTCCTTTTACAACGCACTTAAAGCAGGACATTCATAAAAGATATAAAATAAATTAAATTAATGAAGACTTCACCGATGCTTACGCTAGTTATAGATCTTTTATTAATCGGTACGATAATTAGGAACATAAAAATAAATTAATGTTTTTGTTTTATGATTAGAACAAAATATGAAAACAATAAAATCTCTTAATAAGATGTAGCACTCGTTTTTTTTTTTGCTTTTTTATTAATTTTTTTGTTGTAAAAAGCGAATTAGAAAATATAAAAAAAATGATACAATTACATTGTTATATTCTTTTTAAATAAAATATTCAATAACCTTGTTGAATTAAATACATCAACATTTATTTTCTCAACGATAGCTCAGGGTTAAATCCCATTGCGAAAACGTAAGTTGAGCCCCTTGGTAATACACTGAGTTCAAGCCAATATGACGAACAGAGTTCATCCCCTTTATAAGAGCTCCCCCCTTCCTCACCCCACACCCCGCCACATCCCTAACAAGAAAACGTGACAAAAAAGTGTTTCCAAGACACTTTGACCTTTGTCTGCAGAGGTCACATCAGCAGGCGGGGGAACAACGTAATTACAAATACGTTATTTGCATGTCCGGGGCTGCGCAAATAAGATGCGCGCTGGAAAGCGTTGTATCAGGGCTAATGCGATAGAACGCAATTAACCATTCATAAATATTGGAGATTGATGAAACAACATTTGTATTGTAGGCTGGTTAGCAGGGGAGATGGGAAAATCCGCCCGGGGGAATATGTAATTTTTCACTTGGGAACATACATGTCTCCAGATCCTGCACAAAGATTCTATTTGCCTGGGGTGGGGGATGTGGGGGATGGGATCGTCCTGGCCCAGTTCTTTACAATCGTTTATACATATATATATACATATATATATATATATATATATATATATATATATATATATATATATATATATATATATATATATATATATATATATATACATATATTTATATATATATATATATATATTTATATATATATATATATATATATATATATATATATATATATATATATATATATATATATATATATATATATATATATATATATATATATTAAATTTAGAGACCATGCAGGGGTCGGCGTGGTAGAGTCGGTAAAGCTCTTGTCGCTAAACAGGAAAGTCTCAGGTTAGAACCCTCGATAGCTGGAGACAGCAACTCTTTGGGTGCAAATCCAAAAACAAAAGCAGGCTGAAATCGGAGTGCACATTTTATATGGCGCTTAACTAGTTGACACGTAATACTTAATTTCCACTATTAGAATTTAGGGACGAGAAGAAAAAAAGGCCATGCACATACTGCATTATCAGCAACCAAATTTGTTTTATACATTGTTTTAGAGACAGCCATTCATCATTGGATGTCGCATGAAGCTTTCTACCTACCTCAATTACCTCACTACTACAGATGGTCTCGACAATATTTCCAAAGACGGCATGCTGTGATCGTGTAAATGCATTTGTAGGAATAGAACATCCCTAAGCTTGATTACATCGCAGCATTGTGTGGCATCTAAAATCATCGTACTAATAGATGTGGCTCTTTCGAAAGTAGAACTATAAATAACATCAACGTACTAATAGATCAGCGCTTACTATCAAAGTCAAACAATTTTAACATCTACAATCATCATGCTTATAGACTAGAGCCTACTACAAATATCAAACAATCGTAATATCTACAATCATCGTACTAATAGAACAGCG